CAAGGTGCACCTGTTTGCATCCTGGGAGCTAAAGGACAGAGCCTCCACAGCTGTTACTGACTAGCAGACAAGTAACCTCTCCCTGCAAAACCCAGAACGCCCGGCTGCACTAGAGCAAAAGGAACTCGAGACAAATATTAATTAAACTCCAGGCAGAGAGCCTATTAGTTGATAAAGGCTTTGGACAAGAGTGAGGGAGAGTCCCCTGAGGGCTGGGGCAGTGGAGGAAAGCCAAAGAAAGTGGTGGACTTTGAGACAGGCTTTGAGGGCCATCAGGACTAGGAAAAACCACAATCTAGAGGAGGGATGGAGGGAGAAGGAGAGTTAGAAGGAACTGGAAGCTCTGACTCAGGGCTCTGCCCATTCAAACATGGATCCGAAATCCTGCAGCACTCTCGAGGAGATTCTATTAGGAAGGCGATCATAAGCTGCTCTGGGCTGATGGCATTTGGAGATAGCAGGTTGTAGGGTCCTCACAGGAGAAAGGACAGGGCCCAGTTCCCTGCATGGCCGGAAGTCCTCTACCTCATGCAGATTGCTCGAAGCACACAGATCTGCTTATGTGCAGTCTCCCTCAGTAGAATGTAAGCTCTTCTAGGGCTGGAAATGTGTCTTGTATCGCGAGTGCTTGCTGGGTGCTTGGCCTATAGAAGGTTCTTAAAGAATGTGTGTCACGTGATCCGATGAATGAAACCAAAGAATAAAAAGTAAGACATCAAAGAAGACGGTGTATGATCACACTTCCAAAACAGGAAATTTCCCCCAGGACAGGGAAAATAAGCCAGAAAATCAATGCTCATTGCTCACAGTAGCAACAAAGATGCAGTGTTTGCACAGAGGAACACCTCCCTTGGGGTGCCCAGAGAGGACGGTGGTGTCTCATAATGACCAGAGTCGGTAAGGCCTAAAAGAGCCCCAAAGCCCCCAGGAGATGGACACAACGCACAATCCATCAGCTCTACTGGGTATCTTGGAGGGCTCTGGAACTAGCGTCAGATACCACCCCTTCCCTGGATAGATGGTACAGCCGAGAGGCGCAGGGCACCACCGAGAGGACTCGTGTCCATTCACCCACCTTGTCTGGTAGCACAACCTGAACCAGAACCCAGCTCTCCTGACTGCCAGTCCCGAGCACCCTGGACGAGGAGCCAATCTGGGGCACTCAGCTGGGATGCAGAATTTCAGGAAGCACTACAAAGCTCAGCAGTCAAGATAAATAACATCTTGATGCAATATTTTTTTAAAAAATCAAAATTGAGTCCAAAACAAATCCACGATGAACAAAACACCAACTTTGAAAATAAAGACTTGACTACAGCCGTGCCCTTGCACTCCCCAACCTCACCCTCTGCACCCTGATCTGGGCCAGTAGGCCCGCAGGACCAGGTGAGATGGGGAGGACTAGTTATATGGAAAGCTTAGGGCGGGTCACTCCATGTAAAAGGACGGAGCTCTTGCTTGGGGGTGTCCAAGGCACACAAAGAGTGCCTGGGGCAGAGTGATGGGAGGTGTCAGAGGTGGCCGTGAAGCCATCCCCACCCCACCACCACTCCCAGAGCAGCACTCTTCCCACTGGGTGTGCACTCCTCAGACACCCAGTCACATCCCTGCCAGGAGCCAAGGGAGAAAATCCCATCTCCCCATGGCCCCCCTCTCCAGGATCCTTTCCTAACTCTTGCCAGTTATCTTGCAAATTGAAGCCCTCCCATCTCAAGGAGAAGGTTGCATTAAAAAAAGCTTGGACAGCTCTGGATAACCCTTCACACCATGGAAAAATGACCTGGAACTTTATGACTTACTGACAGTTGGTTATGAATGGGAAGGAAAGCATATGCTTAAACTGCTGGCAGTAAATCCCTTTTAAGGTATTTCTGAGGACCAGTGAGGCCGCATCCTCCTCCTGCCCCCATACTAATAGCAGCTTCCTTCCCATGACAGGCTTGGGCTTTTATAGGTCAGACGAGCCTGGATTCGGATCCAGCTCTGCCATCTACCGTGTGCCCCCAGACAATCCGCCAAGACGAGAGGTCAGCGATTCATGCTTCCAGGGGCCCTGCAGTCGTGCAAAAGACATGACGTGGGCTCAGGGGCTGAGGTGAAGGGGTGTCCCCAGCCCAGCACCAGTGCATGGCTCACTGGAGGGACATCAGCCAGATCTCTCCATGTTTCTAAAGAAAAAATACCATGTGAAATCTCCCCATTTTTAAAGGTTGGCAACTAATTTGCAATTTTTTAAAAAATTAATCCAGCAGAGCCAAAGAAAACAGGTCTTAGAGCCAGAGCCAGAACCCATTTTGTGCCTCTGATGCCTACAAACCACCCGGCAACCTGCCTGGCACCTAGTAGGTGCTCAGCAAGCATCGATGGTTCATCTTTCCAGAAAACCTTCCCCGGCATCGTCAACGTGCACTTCCACACAACAGCTTGGGAAGGAATGCTTCTCAGGAGGGAAATGAAGATATGATGAGACGAGCTGAAAATCTGGAAAGCTCTAAAGGGAGGGAGGAATTGCAAAGAGGGAATTCCTTAAAAGGATTTAAAAGAATTTTATTGGACATAGTTTAGCACAAGTCAGGGATAAGATCAGGCCGTAATTCAACTCCTGGGCACAGCAAGTGAGTCTGTGTATGTGGGTGGATTGGGGGGTGCGGGAGGAAAGGACTGTCCCTACTGATGGTTTCCAACCAGCGTTTCAGGGTCCTCTGTCCACAGATCACCCTAATATTTGTCTCTGGCACATAGTGTTCTGGGTGACCCAGCCCCCAGGGACAATACTCCTCTCCCAGGAGTGGTCATAAGGGTGTAGGGTCCCAGCTGACCCTACACCCCAGTGAATCCAGTAGACCATGAGGGCTCTGAAGTCAGACCCAGCTGGGATAGGCTTCAGTCTTCAACATCGATGGTTCTTTTTTTTTTTTTTTTTTGAAGATTTTATTTATTCATGAGAGACAGAGAGGGAGAGGCAGAGACACAGGCAGAGGGAGAAGCAGGCTCCACGCAGGGAGCCCAACATGGGACTTGATCCCATGTCTCACCCTGGGCTGAAGGCAGCGCTAAACCACTGAGCTACCGGGGCTGCCCCAACATCAATGGTTCTCAAAGTCCCAGACCAAGAGCATCAGAATGACCAGAGAACTTAGGAGAAGGGTCCCACCCCAAACTACTGACTCAGAAATGGGAGGGGGGGCACTTCTGCATCTTCATCCTGTGCTCTTCAGCAAGCCCTATATCTCCCTGGGACCATCACATCGACCCCTAAAAGATGGTCTTGAGTGTTCCCCCCAACAATTAATTCAGAAACCTGGTCTGTCTGTGCCTGGCAGTGTGGAAGATGCCGGAGGGAGCGCACATAGTCCCAGCCCTGATGGAGCCCGATGTCTAGTGGGGAGAGGGACAACAAGGGACAGACAACAAAGGAAAAGAAGATACAAATGCCAACTTTCAGACAGGAGAGGAAGGCAGGGGCCCACTGCATAGGGCCTTATTTCTCAAAGTGTGCTCCAGGGGCCACCTGATGCCAAAGCTCACACAGCTAGGAAGACCCTCCCCAGTACGTCCCTCTGGTGTCCCTGCGGTCCCTCAAACAGGCCTCCCTCTCCTTCCTGCTTCACAGGTCATTGCCTTTACTGGGCCGCCCACCTGGAAAGCTCTCTTAGGAGATCTTCCTTGTTTGGGGCTGTGTGAATGTCCCCGCCTCAAAGGTCTATGGAAAGTGCTCTCCCCCTCACTCTGCACCCCCCCACCCCTGCTCTGGCTTCTTCCCTGCCCCCCTCAGGGACTGCAGTCTTGCTCCCTAGCTAGCGGTTTCCTGGTTCAGCCTCTCCGTGAGCAGGTGAGTTCTTGGGGACAAGTCCTCTGTTTGCGGTCACCTCTGCGGCACCAGTAAACCACCTGCTGCCGAACGAACCCTCTTTCTCTTCAAGTCCCAGGAAACTGCGGAGCCCGCTCCCCACCCCCGAGGGTCTCGGCCCCGCCTACAGCGAGGTGCCTCCCCTGATGGCAGAAGGAGGCCCTGGAGGCTGGAAGGGGGGGGGGCGAGGCAAGCGACCCTAGGAGGCGGGCTCTGCGGGGGCGCGGGTTCAGGAAGAGCCGCCTAACCCGCCCGGCGCTAAAGGGCAACTCCTACCGACTCCCAAGCGAGGCCCGACGGGCTGCCTACGCACGGGGTGCTGGACCCCGGGACCCCAGGCCCGGTGTGAGCGCCCCGCGTCGGGCCGGGCGTGCAGGCGGCAGGGCCCCGCGGTCCGAGGGCAGGGCGCCTGGCGCGGCAGGTGCGATCCCTGAGAACTTGACGCTGCCGGGCCCGTGCGGTCCCTGCAGTGGCACCGGGGCACTCGGACCTCGCGGGAACAGCACACGACGGGCGGCAGGTGGCCCCGGGACGCGGAGCGGGGGGGGGGGCTTCACGTGGCACGTGGAGGACCCGCGGGGGGCACCCGGGCGGCGGGGGAACGCAGGTGACCAGGCGCGACCCCGGGGGGGGGGGCGCACGGACGGCCCGGGGGCAGCGAGCGCGGGGAGCGCGGGGAAGCGCGGAGGGCCGGGGGCGCGAGGGGGCGCGGGGGGGTGCGGAGGGGGTGCGGGGCGCTGGGTCCCGGCCGGAGCCCGGGGGGCGCTGGGGGTCCCGGGGAGGCGCGAGGGGTGCGCGGGGCGCGGGTTCCGGCCGGAGCGCGAAGTGGGGCGTGGGGCGCGGCGGGGGGCGCGGGGTACCGGCTGGAGCGCGCGGAGGTGCGGGGGGGACGCGGGTCCCGGCCGGAGCGCGGCCCACCCGACGCGCGGGCCCCCGGGGCGGGGGGCGAGGCCGACGCCGCGCTCCCCGCCGCGCGCCCCCTCTCCCCGCCCCGCGCGCCCCCTCTCCCCGCCCCGCGCGCAGTCCCTCCCTCCGTCCCGCCTCCTGCCCCGCTCCCTCCCTCCCTCCCTCCCTCCCTCCCTCCCTCCCTCCCTCCCTCCCTCCCCTCGGCGGCTGCGGCGCTGCGCTCCCGGCGCACTCGGCGCGCGGCGGGGACCGGGAGGCGGAGGCGGAGGCGGGGCGGCCCTGGGTCCGAGTGCGGAGCGGAGCCGGGCCCGGGGACCGAAGTTGGCCCGCGGCTCCGGGAGGCGGCCCGGGCGGCTCCCCGCCCCTGCGCGCGCCCTCGCCCGGGACCCGCCGGCCGCCCGGGGGGACGGCAGCCTCCGCCGGGCCAACTCCGCCGCGGAGCCGCCGTGACGGGAACTTGAGGTGGGAACTTTGCGCGCGGCAGCCTCGCCGGCGGCCCCCGGCGCCCGCACACTCGGCGGGGCTCGGGGCGGGGGCTGCCCGGGGCGGGGAGGCGGGGGCGACCGGGGCGACCGGGGCGGGGGGCGGCGGCGGGGGGCGCGCTCGCCACCGCCACGGCGCGGGTCCGGCTCCGGCTGACCCCGGCGGGCCCCGGGGCGAAGGGCCGGCCGTGCCTCGCCGCGGGGCCGGGGCGGGGGGCGCATCCTGGCCGCCGCGGCGGCTTCTGGATGCCGGGAGGAGGGAGAGGTGGGGGGAGGTGGAACAGGGGCCCCGGCTCTGGCTTGTTCGCGCCGCCTTGGGCAGGGACGGAGCATCTCCACCGGCGGGCTTTACTAAGTCAGTCATTTACTCAGCTTTTATGGAGCGCCCAGTGTGTGCCCGGCGCTGGGGACTCCGAGACCGCTGTGGTCACCGGAGGCTCTAGCATCTCATAGGAAAAGTGGGGGGTCGCCTCCTCAGCCTCAGGGACTCCATACACCCCCCCCCCCAGGGGCTCTGCCTGGATGGACGGGAATCTTTGGGTAAGGCAGGAAAGGAGAGAAGTTCGTGCATTCATGAATTGGACAAAGATGGGTTGAGTGAGCACCTACTAGGCGCAGGTCACCATGCCAGGTGCTGGACATGCATTATTTCATTCAACAAACAGTTCCTGAGCTGGGACATGAGGGACTCTGAAGGAGAGGGATGGGGTGGGATGGAAGCATCCTGCAGCTTGGAGCGAAGTAGGGATTAAGCCCCAGCCCTTGCCTAGAGGAGGCCCAGCCTGCGGGGGTGGCTGACTGCCGCAGCCCCCATGTCTATAGGGAGAAGCAGAAGGCCCTTCCTTGGTTCCTGTAATGCAGTCATTCTCAAAGAGAGCGGGAAAACTGAAATAGGTTCTTGAATAGGAAGAAAATGTCCTCAAAAAGCTCCTTAGGGGAGGCTGATCATGGCGGGAGGGAAGAGGGGTGGCGCGGTGTTGGGAAATACTGGCCTAACGTTCCGGATGAATGCAGGCTCGACCGATAACGGTTTATTAAAGTTGTCTGTTCAGCAGGCATTTTCTTAAGCACGTAAAGGGTGCCCGGCACCAAAGTCACCCAGAGGATGAGAGGACACAGACTTCCTTCACTGATACCTTGAGATAAGTGCTGGGGTGGGGGGCGGCCAGGAGGAAGCAGGAACTGCTCTGATTCACTGGGGGGGGGGGGGGCTCCTGCCTGTATGAATCTGAAGAGGTTTATGCACTAGGGTGATACCCACACACATGACTGCAGTCAGAGTCACTCCCGAGGAACGAGTCTCCAAGGGAAGGTCGGCATGCTGGAGACCCAACGCCAGTGCTGGGGCCAGGGCACGCTGTCTTTCTTGAGTGGATTTCTTGGGTTCTCCCAGACCTGAGCTTGACCCTGGTGTCCTCTGTCTTGGACCCCTGCAGAGGCCCCTGTGGAGTGGGGAATGAGGGAAAGGTGTGTTTGAGAGACAGGGTACGATGGCCTCTGGGGATGGCCCTTATGAGTCACTCCCTAACGCTGCCCATTCCAGTGGAAAGATGTCTGTTGTGGGACATGCCCCAAACCCATGGGGGGCGGAAACAAGGCAGCCTTGATCCCCGTCCCAAAGTTTGGGAACCCAGGCCGGGGGCACCCTGGAGCCTAGCCAGGACAGATCTGGGAGCCCGGCTCCATTCCCACTACCACTTTGAATTCTCTGCATCAGACACACAGCTGGGCCCCAGTGAGAGGCTCAATTGATGCCCCCAGGGAGCATGAGAGCAGAGAAATGTGTTCTGGATGCAGGGCTAAGACACTCAAACTAAGGAATTAATCCCCTGGACCCCTAAAAAGTGTGTTGACTGGGCTTTCTCCACCTCCCCTTTCTGAATACATGATAAAGAGTCAGCATTTCCGGTTGCCAAAGACACAGGGGTCTGGGAATCTACTCCCGGGTGATTTATTAAACCCAGAAAATGTAGTCCCTGGGTGGAAAATGGTGGCTGGAAAAGCCACTCTAAATAGAATGAATAAGAACAGAGAGGCAGGAAAGTCTAGCCTGCAAGCACTCAATCACCCTTGGCCATTTTTATTATGTAGCAGACAGTATGTGGTTAATAAAATCAGAACACAAAGTAGCATGCCACACACCGGATCTGAGCGTTTTGCCTCAGACTTGTCCCTGCTCTGTGGTGACTGTGCCTCACACCTGCGTGTCCCCAGGCAGGCATGTACAACCAGGCTCTCCCTCGTTCCTCAGTGGCCCGCCACAGCCACCAGGTGCTGCAGCCTTAACACTTATTAAGGAGAAAGAATGGAGGGACTGTGTATGCAGCTGTCCCCTTCCTGCTGCCCAACGTCCCGGCTACCGCCCCCCCCCCTCCCCGCCACCAGCCTCTTCCTCTGCCTATGCCTGTGCTCCCAGTTTTCAGGCTGCAAGGAGGCAAATAGAAAAGGACTTTTGGCTCCCCTACCCCACCCCAAAACACATCCTGGTAGAAGGCAAATGTGCATTTGGTGTTATTTTGCCACAAGCAGGATAAGGAGGCTCCAGAGGCCCCTTGGTCTTTTCCATGGTGGGAGAGGTGGACTCTGGCACGCTTACCTTGGGGAAGCAGGTAGAGATGGAGGGAAGAGCCCAGCTCCCAGCAAATACTTCACTATCACCAGTGTCTTGGGCCCAGCTCCCAAGCTGTGGGACTGAGATCCATCCGGTGTGGTTGCGTGGTGATGAGGACGGACAGCAGGTAACTAAGAAAGACAGACTCTCCATGTGGGTGCCGCATCTCGAGGTGGTCCAGCAGGCTGGGACCTGGGCCAGCCTACTGGCAGGATCCATTTTGATTAACATTTTAATTGGGAATTAATGCAGCATGACCCGCCTCTGAGTCACCCCAGCCAGGAGCCCTAACCCTGACAGATGAAGCCCCTGGCAGGGGAAGGGCAGCGTGGAGAGATCTCAGGGGAGGGACTAGCCCAGGTTGAGAATCATGATGTGAGAGGAAAAAAAACAAAGCCCAAGTTGCCCAGGAGAGAAATGCTCTTCCTTTAGAAAGTTGCATTTGAGGTTGTGTTAGTTCCCTCCTGCCACATATTACCACCAATTTAGTGGCTTAAAGCAACACGAATTTAGTATCTTACAGATTGGGGGATCAGAAGTCGAAAATGGGTCTCATTGACCTAAAACCAAGGGGTTTGCAGGGCTGTGTTCCTCGTGGCGGGGAGTGGGGGGGGGGTTGGGAATCCCACTTCCCTGCCCTGGATTTCCAGCTTCTAGAACCTGCCCACACCCTTGGCTCCTGGCCCCACATCACTCCGACCTCTGCTTTCACCATCCCATCTGCCTCTCTGGCTCTGACCCTCCTGCCTCCTCTTTAAGGATCGCTTATAATTCGATGTGGCCCCACCTGGATAATACAGGCTCATCTCTCCGCCTCAATTAAATCTCATCAATTTAATTAATCACACCAGCAAAATCTCTTTTGCCACGTAAGGGCCCATATCCTCAGGGTCTGGGGATTAGGACATAGCCCTCTTTTGGGGGACCATTACGCTGCCTACTTTAGGGGCATGCCTCATCGGTTTATGTTACAGATGGGGAAACTGAGGCCCACCAGAGTGAGTGATGTCGTGCCAGGTGAGAGGAGAGTCAGCACTGAAGCCTCCCTTCTGGAAAATGTTTTCGGCTTCACATTCCTCCTCTGAGAAAGGAAATGTTAAGGGAGGTGCCAAGCTTGCTTCACAAAAGCCATTCTAGCAAACGCAGAGCCCTAACATGTGCAGACACAGCTCCGAGCACCTACAAGGAAGTATGATAATGACCCAGGTTTATAGCTGAGAATGCTCAGGCACAGAGAGGTGAGGTTATTTTCGTCAAGGTGCACAGCTAGAAGTGGTGACACAGGCATCCCGGCCCAGAGGCCACACCGTCACCTCTGGCTGGTACCTATTCCCGGCACAGGAGGGCTCTTCCTTCAGAGGCCAAAATGGCAACTCAGAATTTGACACCACCAGGAGTTTTGTTGACTCCTTCCCCTGCTCTTATGCAAATATACAATAGGAACAAATGTGTTTCCCCCAGCCGTGGGCAACTGCCTGCTTCTCGCCATCACAGAAGACTTTCCAAAAGTGTGTCTATAGAGAGATGGGAGATCCAGTCCCTGGCTTGCTACAGGTAGTTCCCCCTGGGAACCAGTAATCCAGGGAGACAGTCAAAGAGGTCAATACCAATACCAAGGTCAAAGAGGTTTGCCTTGGAGTCCTACAGACGTAGATTGATTGTGGCCTCAACGCTCATATCCCCAGAGTCCTGAGTTTTTATTGTCAAAGCCTCAGTTTCATCATCTATGAAATGAGGGTGTTAGTGGTAGCAGCCTGGCACAGCGCCTAGCACTTTGTGTGCAATCAAGGGTGGCCATGGCTGTTGTCATTAGAGCACCGTGCGCGTCCAGCCCTCTCTTTGCCTCCCCCTCCGACTCAGAAGAGGAGCCGAGAACTCCGTCCCAGTGGAGGGGCTCAGGACTGGAAGGACAGAGTCAGGAGAGAGCGGTGGTTTGGTAAAAATACCAGGAGGTATTGTAGCAGTTAGGATCAGTGCATCACAGTTTATGGAACCCCGTTCATGACCTTGATGGGAGGTGAGCGTTCTGGCGACACTGCTAATTCCTGCAGCAAACCTCCATTCACTGGGTCATCACAGCAGCCCTCTGCATGAGCATGCTTCTCCCTCCTTTATAGGGAGAAAAGAGGCGTAGAGAGGGCAGGTGACTCGGTGGGTGCAGATGACCATCTCAGGCCAGAGGGTCATGAGCAGAAGCAGCTGTGGTGGCCGGGCAAAGCCTGACTTTGTCCCACCCCGCTATCCCCTCCTACCCTGCACCCCCGTGTCTAGCACCTCCATTTGCAGCAGACACTGACCACAGAGCGGCCTCTGCCTCAGAACTCCTTTCAGGGTCAGTGACCATTTCTCTTTGGAAATGAGTACTCAGC